CCAGCCGCCGCCGCCGCCGGACCCCGCGATGCCCCCGCTTACGGCTCACGCCATGCGGCAGCTTCGCCCGGGTACAAAGGCCGAAGGTATGGCAGACCCGCGGCTGCCAAGCCGTACGAGATCGGGCACAAGGCACAGCACAGGACTCATCTCGATGCTAGACAAGAATGCTCTGGTGTCGATGCTGGAGGCTCGGAGCGCGGTGGACGAGGGACGCAGAGAGCTGGGGCGGGCGGAGGCCGGAGAGCCGGGGGGAGCGGGGACCGAAGGGCAGGCGGGAGCACTCGCAGCTGTGGACCCGGGGGCTGGAGGAGCGGGCTTTCCACTCGCATTTGCCACGCTCCTCGCCAACCGGGAAGACATCGACGCCACGCTGCGAGACCAGCGCCCGCCGGAGCAACGCCCTGACCTTCCGCATTGCCAGGCCAGCGACCTTCGTGTCCCCAAGAGCTACAAAGAGGCCATGGCGTCGGAGCACCGGCACCTTTGGAGCGACTCTATGCAAAGGGAGTTTTATGGCTTGTTGGAAGCGGGGACTTTTACTCCGGCGAAGTAGCAACTAGTGGAGAGCGCAATTTACGCTAAGTGGGTATTTGATTGGAAGGCAGATGAGTTTGGATGGCCCACTAAGGTTAAGTCGAGACTTGTAGCGAGAGGTGATATGCAGAGAGAGTACATTGACTTTGGAGAGTTGTACGCGCCTACCGTTTCTGTTTCATGTGTTAGGATGTTGGCTGCTTTGGCGTGCGAGTTGAACCTCGACTTGTGTCATTTCGATGTTGAGCAAGCTTTTGTGCGTTCGGAGTTGGAGGAAGACGTGTACATGCGTTTGCCGCAGGGATGTGGAGCTCTATCAGGAATGATNGTTAAGTCGAGACTTGTAGCGAGAGGTGATATGCAGAGAGAGTACATTGACTTTGGAGCCTACCGTTTCTGTTTCGTGTGTTAGGATGTTGGCTGCTTTGGCGTGCGAGTTGAACCTCGACTTGTGTCATTTCGATGTTGAGCAAGCTTTTGTGCGTTCGGAGTTGGAGGAAGACGTGTACATGCGTTTGCCGCAGGGATGTGGAGCTCTATCAGGAATGATTGTAAAACTAGGCAAGAGTCTGTATGGCTTGAGACAGGCATCTAGGCAGTGGCATGCAATGCTGCAGAGGTGTTTGGTAGAGTTACGTTTTGAGCAGTGCATGGCCGATGCTTGTGTGTTTCGTTTGATTGAGGATGGATGTGTTGTTTTGATTTTGGTAGTACATGTAGATGACATTTTTGCTGTTGGAGAGAGGGAGAGATGTGATAAGTTTGGCACCGACCTTAACAAGTCCGTGCCAGTGAACAACCTGGGACAATTGAGATGGTATTCTGGGTGCTTTTACGAGAGGAACAAGGAGACCGGTAGGTTGACGAATTCTCAGCAGACTTTCACGGATGAGCGAGCAGCAGAATATGGAGTAGTGGGAGGTAAGAGCGTTCCGAAGTCTTCGGGGGTGAAGCTTTCTGATTTTGATGCGGATGAGGTGGCGACAGACTTTCCGTTTCGTGAGCTGGTAGGATCGTTGATGTGGCTGGCGACTCAGACTAGACCAGACATTGCGAATGCAGTAAGGGCAGTAGCTAGGTATTGCGCATCTCCGAAGCTGGTACACTGGAATGCAGCGATGGATATTTTGGGCTATGCGAGGAGGACGAGTCACTTTGGTATTTCGTTTCAGAGAGGTACGGTAGAGGGATTCAGCTTGCAGGGATACGCTGATGCGGACTTTGCAAGCAAGGCAGCAGACCGTAGGTCGGTATCAGGGGGGATCGTGACGTGTGGAGGAGGCGCTGTGTCTTGGTTTTCCAGAACGCAAAAGTGCGTCACGCTTTCGACGACAGAAGCAGAGTACGTCGCGCTAGGCGACGTAGTGAAGGAGATTTTGTTTTTGAGGCAGATTTGGCGTTTCATGTTGCCGCAGGTCGGCATGCCGTGCATCCCCGTCTTCGAGGACAACCAGGGGGCGATTCAACTAGCGCAGAACCCCATCTCAAACTCGAACTCGAAGCACATAGATGTAAGTACCAGCGTGCAGACGTTCTTACGAAGAGTTTGTCGAAGGATGCTTTCGAGTCTCACCGTGATTTTGTGATGAATTTGACATGAACATTTTATTGTTTTTCTGATGGGTTGTGTTTTGGTCTTGTTCTGTTTCCCGTTTTGTTTCATTTCCCGCGCCAAGTATTTGTTAAGCGCGATGCAGCATTCGTGTTTCTTTGAATTGTTTTTCTCTCTTATATTATTCTGGTCAAGTCTTCATGGTATATATTCTGGGAAAGACGTCTTTTGGCTGAGATATCGGGTGTTAGTGAATTCTTCATTGAGAAACTGTTGCGAGCAGGGGGGATGTTAGATATACTCGCAGCAGTATCAGGTCGTGAGGATCCCAGGGGGATACGTTTTGGGAATTTCGTGTGTTGAAGGGTACCACCGGCGCAGTCACGGGGACCCTTTGGGCGTGGTCGGTGCGATGATGAGGCTTGCGTGCGTGCTGCGCACTTCTTCTTCTTCTTCCCTCTCTCTCTCCACATCCACCACCGTCTCTCTCCAATCAAGTTTCCTTCTCCCACTCTCTCTCCAACTCTCTCTCAACCTCTCTCTCTCGGTCTAACACGGTCGACTACCCAGTGCCCCAAGTAACGCCCAGAACGTGCTTGCTGCANCTCTCGGCCTGACACGGCCGACTACCCAGTGCCCCAAAGTAACGTCCAGAACGTGCTTGCTGCACCCCGCGTAGTTTACCTTTCACGCGTTATGTTATTACGACATGCATGCAACATCGACCGCGTGTGTTCGTCCACATCTATTCCGGCGCCGGTTCACAAGCAAACCGAGTTCCCAATCACCCAACCACGTGTATTCAGACCACACGTTTCTTTTTTTGTCTTTTCGTCGAGTTGTGTGATCACCACACATGCTGCTCCTGGCTGCTCCATGTGTAGGTTGCTTGAAGGTTTGTTGTTGTTGTTGGTTCTCACTTATGAGCTCTATACAGATGGCGCCCGCACTTAAGAGTCGTTCATATTGGCCAAGGCTTGATGCTTATTGGCTGTCTGAAAATGAGCACCTGTTCATATTTTCAAGTTCTTATTTCGAACAGGCATAGACTATCCGTATGATCACGGGGTTCTTGTTCTTATTTCTATGCCGAGGGCCTCAGAGGACATTCTTTTTTTCGGGGTGAATTCAGCCAGACACTTGAAACAGCGTGTTCACATGCATAAAACAGACTAAAACAATAGAACGTCGCTCAACAGAGACCTCTGGAATCGACGTACCGCAGATCACGATAGGGTAGAGTTAAATACAGACAGACAGACGTGGTATCGCCTGAAATAATGACCCATCTGAGCAAACACGTTGAACCATCAAGGGGTCCACAAGGGTCACGTTCGGCGTGATTGTCCTCCCCGCTCTATCTCTTACATTGCGCCCTGCTCTTCGAATGCCGGACTTCCTCCCTGCTCTACGGCACACTCCCCTCAAGCAAAGCCCACGATCCTACCACCGCACCCGTATCTCCACTGCTGTGCTTGTCCAACGGCATTCATGCGGCGCTTTGGTCTACATGTAGCTCGAAATGCACAAGGTAGTCGCAAAAGGTGGCGGGTACGCTCGTGAAACGGCCGAGTGATCAGCTCACCAAAACAGCCCTTGCTCAGTTTTACGATTGCTCTACATGCAGCAACGAACTGTCAAGAGCAGCGGGTTTAGGCGCTTGAATTCGAAAACCGGTGGGTACGAAGAAGGAAAAGGTGTCGGAAAGCTTTCGTCGCCCCCGCGTCGACTCGATGGTCTCCCAGTCTGAATTCGTGGGCAGTTGCCAGAAATGACATGTTCTTTGATGGCCTCTAGACTAAGTGTCGATCAAGAATTACACCTTCCTTCAACTTTGACAGCTGGCCGAGCTCTTTGAATATTTCAAGGGGTAGAAAGACATGGCTCTCGTGCATGGCACGCAGCGTGGCAGGCACCCCAATGACACGCGACGAGGGGTATGCGTTGTACAACGAAGCTAAGCACCTACC